AAATCAGACCTGAGTTTGAGTCCCCACTCTGCCATGAACTAAAAAAGGTGACCTTGTCCCTTTTATCATTGTTATATCTTCTCTTGAAACTCCTCTCCCCTTCTCCCAAAGACTACTGGTGTTTTGATAGAGGACATCATTGTTGTGCTCTGGGTTTTTGTGTTCAGCCTCATTTCCATATGCCCAGGGTGCTGGGCCATTCCTTGGCAAGCACTGTAACCCCCACCTGCAGTGCCCTCTACCATCTAGCAAGTCATAAAACTCACTTCTTTTGAATCTGCACTGACATCTCGAGGCATGGGAATATGGAAACCCAAGTTTGCCTCTTGGCTCTTTCACCCAGTTTTAGTTGGTATCACCTTGGTGAAGTTATTTCATCCCACTAAGATAAACGTCCTTAATTATAAAATGGTAATAATAATACTTTGTACCTGGGCAGTTTTAAAGATTAGCATCAGGGTGTTGTAATAAATGCCTGACAGTTTTTAGGGCTTCCAGTAGATGGCAGTTTTAATTGTTAGGTTATATATTTATGTATTTATTAGGCCATTCTTAGTGAGGCCATTGAGCAAGAGCTATGGCTTATACCCAGCTCCCAGCACTAGTACCTTTGTTATGCACTCACGAAATGTTTGTTGAAAGTAGAGTCATAGGCCAACCTTATAATTTTACAAATGAGGAAGGCTGGTCCTAAGAGGCCAACAGTCTTTCTTATATTTAAAACAAAGCCAACATTCTTTTCTAGTGTGTCAGTCATTCCTTTGTAAAATATCAATTGGGCAGTTTCTAGGCACTGGACATGTAGTAGTTAATTGGTTAAGAGGGTTAACCAGTCACACAAAGACAGAATTAGCACATTCACCATTTGTGGAAAGGGGAAGTAAAAGGCATGATGCATTTAGCAAATATTGAGTGCCGGGTATGTGCCAGGTGATGCAAGTCACTAGATGTGCAAACCTGGGCATGAGGCTTTGATGGTGTTCTAGAAATGCTTTTCTGAGCAAGTGCCCTTTAAACTGAAATCTGTAGGACAAGTGGGAGCAGTTAAAGACAGATGTTGCAGCCCAAGAACCTCCTAACTCTGGACTCTTCTCTTGCACAACTTCATTGCCTAGGTTTGCTGACCTCTGCATTCATCAGTATGCCAGATTTCTCTCCTAGCACTTTACCTATTTCCTGCTGCTCTTCTAATTGTTTATATCTTTCCAACAAAATAGGAAGCACCAAATTTGTTAGTTGATGTCATTTATTCACCTGCTGTGCCATTTCTCAGCAAGCTTTCCTAATTTCCTTTTTCAGCCATGTTAGTGGACACTGTTGGTGCTCTGCCCATAGCCCTTTAAACTTGCTTTTCCTTTAAAGCCAAAGGCTTTCTCCTGCATATAGAAGTAACTCTGTACTTGAGGGCTCTCTCTGGACAGGAATACTGGGCATTAACATTGATTGAGTCCCCAGTCAGTGACTGACAGCAACTGGTAGATTCATATACCAGCACCCATGCCCGCAAGTGGGACAGCTCTGGGGCAGGTTCCAGATTGGCTCCTGGAGTCTCCAGAAGATTTGAACCTCAGTTGCCCGTAGCAACAACCTGCTTATCAACATGCCCTGACTTGGCTTCATTCCCTTCCATGTCTCTCTTCTCTGCTTCTTTCCAGTACTTCCTGGCGTCACTTCCCAGATAAACAACTTGAAATTGAAGCCTCAGGATCTGCTTCTGGGGATCTTAAGCTTAGATAGAGGGCAGATATGAGGTTTGGTTAATCACACTGTGCAACCTTTGTCCAAACTCTCCTCTGATCTTGGATTTTTGCCTGATGGTGAAAATTCAAAGCAGCACTGAAAAGAAGAGATAGTGACAAAAGGAAAATATACAGATTTAATCTGGAAAGAGAGGAATAGAGACAAGGAAGTCTGATCTCCCCTGCATTACCTCATACATCACTTAATCTTCACATTGAACGACTTTGCAAGATAAATCTGTTTATTCTCTTTCCTGCAGATGGAAAACAGAGACCCAGAGAGATGAAATAACCCAAATTCACAGACTGGGTGAGGGGAGTAGAGGGGGGGAGCTACATAGCTGGGATTCTGATCAAAGCCAAGCTTCTTCCTTAGTCCAATAGTTCTCAGACTTGTTGGGACCACTCACTTGGCATCAGGATAGTCTTTATAGGTCATAATAAAATCTCAGCATACTAGATTCAGAATAACTATGTAGTTTTTTGCCAGATTAAATACCAGGAACAGACCTATACATGCAAGAGACAGCAGAGGTCAGAGAATTGAGAGTTATTAGGGGAAGAACTTGAGAAAAAGTCTGTCTTAACTTTTTTCTGATTTGGGGAGCAGGCAGCAACCTAGTTTGAGAACCCCTGCTGATTCTGGAGATACTTGGTAGCAGTGACAGAAAGTTTATCATATGGTGTAACTTCCACCTGCCTCCCCAGGTCAGAGGCCGAGGTCAGCATGGATGATCTTCCTTCATCACTCTGCCTCTTGCTTTCAAGGCCTCTTTTGGTCATTTAATTTGTCTCTGAAAGAGAGGGAGACAGGCACTGATTGAGCAAGTGTCTATCTCCTAATCATTCTTCAGTGGAGGCCGCTACCTTCAGGAAGGCTTCCCTGACCACCGGTCTACTCTTGTGTGCCAGATAGTGCCCTGAGCCCTCTGTAGCCTATCATGATACTTTAGTGAACTTTTATATTTGTTCATCTGTCTCTCTCAAACTCCAAGCAGAATGAGGATCAGGACTGTGCTATGTTTATTTTTGTATCCCTAGCACAGACCTCAGCATATAGTACATGATCAGTAAACAAATGAATGGATCAGACTTTAGTTCCTGGAAATACAAAAGCATGTTTAAAAAAAAAAAAATGTAGGTTCTCATTTGCAAGAACCTGGGAAGCAGTGGGAGCCTAGAGAGATGAGTAGGTCAGTAATGACATGATATACATGAGGACCTGTCCTTCATCGTGTCATGGGAAGCCTTCTGTGGGTGTGGGGCTTTCATAGCAATTTGATTTTCAAGGGACAGCAACCAGGGGAGGCCACAGCACAAAAAGGGCATCGAGACGTGATACGAGACAACTCATTCTAAGAATTACAGCAAGCTTCAATTGGCTAGAACACATTTCTAAATAAGGAGCCCAGAAAAATGAATGGGGCCTTGGCATGAAAGCTTTGAACTTCATGCTAAGCAGTGTGGACTTTAGGCTAAATATTTTGGGGTTCCACTAAAGGGTTCTAATTGAGGGAAGGGCATAGTTGTCTTAGAAAGACTGCCCAGGGATGCTGCCAGGGACAGCAGCTATAATATTTGACACTCTCCATGCTCTCCTCCATGGTGGCTTCATTCCCCTGTACACAGGGCCTGGCACATGTACCTGCTTTGTAAATACTGGTACCTTTTAAATGGGCATGAAGGAGAGGATATCACTAGACTTAGATGGTTGACTAGAGGTGGACTTGTTGAATTGCTATTTAGAGATTGCTTTTCTAAGGCAAAACCAGTCTTCCTGCATCTACCTTTCTCCTTCTGCAGTCTGTTCTGAATACAATAGCCAGAGGTTCTTTTTACATGGGGATCTTGTCATCCCTATGTTCATAGTCTCCTTGTTGAGTTCAGAGCCAAAGCCAAAAGCCTTTCATGATCTAGAAAGCCTCCCTGGGTCCTCCCTTTTCACCGCTCTGATTCCGTTTTCTTAGACAGAAAACAGAATCACCATTTTCTTAGCTCATCCCACTCTTCCAACCTGGCCTCCATGCTGTTCCACACAACAGACCTGCAACACCCTGCACCCAGAACACACCCCAGATAGTCACCAGGCTTGCTCTCTCATTTGGTTCAAGCCTTATTGTCTAAGTAAAGGCTCTCTGACCTCTGTTCAGACATAATTACTATCCCTGAACTTTCCGTTCTTGCCCATACCTGGCTAAATTTTTCTGCATAGCATTTATCCATTTTAACATATCACATAATGTACTTAATTTTATGTATGATAGTCTGTTCCCCCTCACTAGCGTGTGTGCTCCAGGAAGGTATATTTCTATTAATTTTTGAGACAAGGTCTCACTCTGCAGCCCAGGCTAGCCTTGAACTCACAATCCTCTTATCTCTACTCCCAAGTGCTAGGATTTCAAGCATGTACCATCATGACCAGTTTGTCTGTCTTAATTTTGCTTGCTGTTCTTCCCTCAACACCTGGAACAATACCTGACATGAAATGAGAGCATCCTTATTTTTGGTTGTTCTCAAATTTGAACTCAAGGCCTCACGATTGCTAGGCAAGCAGTCTACCATTTGAGTCATGCCTCCCCTCCCTTTTTCACATTGTTTTTGGATAGAGTCTTGTGTTTTTTCCTGGTTTCAGGTTCAAGCCACAATCCTCCTACCTATGGCTCCCACACAGCTGGGATGATAGGCACATACTGCCATACCTGGCTTATTAATTGAAGTAGGGTCTTGCTAACTTTTTGCCCAAGTTGGCCTCCAATGGCAATGCTCCTGATCTCTGCCTCCCACATAGCTGGAATTATAGGCATGAATCACCATGCACCAATCCTGAAAGCATCCTTCTGATGCTGTATTTTTAGATGTGTGGACTATATACCTGAAAGAGGAAGAAGACTCATTTGCCTTTTAAATAAGTGTACACCGTAGACAAGCAAGGCCTTTCCCCCAGAGCAGCATGATATTTTGATGGGTTGGGAACTGCTCTCTGCCACCATTGATGTCCCCATCCGTGGTTAGCTGGCATTGAAGGGAAGAATGATAGGAAAGTATTCTGGATTTTTTCTCTTCTCATTGCTGAAAAGTGAGATGTTTACTTCAGGGTATGATGACAGTGAGTGCACAGAAAAAATAAATGTAAGGATGAGGAACACAGATTGTGTTAAACCCTCTTTAAGCTAACTGTTGTGTGTCTTTCCTGTGCGTGGAGAGACTCAACAGACCTGACAGGGAAGAATGGTGATGGAAAACATTTTTGTCTCTGCACAGGTGTTTCATGGGACTCCCTTCCAGATGAGCTGCTCCTGGGGATCTTTTCCTGTCTGTGCCTCCCAGAGCTGCTGCGAGTCTCTGGGGTTTGTAAGAGGTGGTACTGCCTCGCGTAAGTATTTTTCACCCCTTTGGAGGAAGGGAAGAAGAAAGTTATGTATTCATTTTTAGTCTGGTGAAGCTAAAAAACCAAGAAAAATACTGCAGCTCCAAGCAAACTAGGTGCCTTTGTGTTTTTACTAATTAGTATCCTCATTTCACAGTGGGAGAGAAGCGCTTCCTGGAGGTATAATTTATTCCATTTCTGAATGCCTCTTTGTCATGTACTGCCAGGTCGCACCTGTTTGGGCCAGACAGTGTGCTGAGTGAAAAGAGTAGTGGAAGGAGGGCATGAAGATGGCTGTGCCTCACACCAGGGGCCAGGCAGTGAGCTTAGCTGGCAGAGAATGAGGGGCTGGCAAGTCAGACACAGTGTGCTCCCAACCACTGCCTCTTACACTGTGTGATCTAAGCGAGTTACTTGACACTCCTGATTCTCAGTCTCCCCCAGTGTAAAATAGGCCTAATGGTACATTCATTGTAGAGCGATTTTGAAATGAAATGAAAGATGCCAGTCCAGTGCCTGTTTCACAGGCATGCTGAGCTCAAGAATGCCTTTGTATGTCGTTTTGGCTGGGTGTTTTGTCAGCACTTCAGGTGTGGATGATGAGCTGGGAAGATAGTAACAGGCCTAAAACAAAAATAAAACTTTCTCTTTTTTTTCCCCCTATGGTGCTGAGGATCAGACCCAAAGCCACATGTATTCTAGTCAAGTGCTGTACCACTGAGCTACATCAACCACCAAGACTCTGTTTTTCAACTGGAACTTTTTCCCAGCTCTACCCTTCCTCACCCGCATCCTACCCCCTGGTTGTTCTGTGCTTCATGTTTGAAAACAATCCTTCTGGCTTCTCTCTCCACAAATCTAGAATTCCCCTTGTAATTCAACAGGAGCCACTTGCCTTCAAGGGTGTGCTGGAATAACACAGCACAGATATTTGCAGTAATAGCCTATTTGCTTAGAAGATGAAGAGGTCTGCACACCTGAAATGCTGGTGCAAATGGTGTCCGAGTTTCACTTATCCACACCCAAGAAACCCACTTTGATTTTCTTTTTTCCACCAACTGGACATTTGTCCATTCCATGAAGAGTCTATTAACCTTTTTTTAAAAATGCCTTGTACATATTTAAGGGGTAAAACATGATGCTTTGACATATACATAGTAGCAAGATATTATTATATTCTAGCAAATTAATATATACATCTCCCATAATTACTTTTTCTGTGTGTGCAGCTAAAGTACCTAAAACATACTCATTGAGCAAAATATCCAAAATCCAGGGCAGTAGTATTGACTAATAGTTCTCATGTTGTACATCAGCTGTCATGACTTGTTCGCCATGTGCATTTGCTGTTTTGTATCCTTGCACCTGTATCTCCCCGTGAGTCCATTAATCTTCATCTCAGTTGTCATAAAAGTAGTAACTGTGCTGGCTTCAGCAGCACGCGTACTAAAAATTGGAACGATACAGAGAAGATTAGCATGGCACCTACCCAAAGATGACATGCAAATTTGTGAGGCGTTTCATGTTTTTTAAAAAATTTTTTAAAAATAGTAGCTGATATTTATTAAGCAGTTACTCTTTGTGTTGTGAGTATGTTATCAACTTAATCCTCCAAACAGTCTTAGGTGACAATATTCATATTATCTCAGTTTAGGAGATGAAACTACAAGATCAGGAACAGTAGATTGAGAGGTGAGGGGTAAAGCAGAAACCAGAGGTCTAGTAGCTTCACAGCCTTAACCATAACTAGTTATATTTGGTTGAGAGTTAACGTAGATCCTGAATTCATCTTCCTGGGTATGCTAAAAATGTATGTTATTTGGGAACAAGGTGCTTATTGCAGAATGCCCTTGCAAATGGAAACATCAAACATGAGATTTGAGATAACCAAAATATGATCTGGTATCACTTTCTTGGCAGTAGATTTTAGTCTGGGCAAGAGAAAGATACAAAGCATGCCAGTATCTTAAGAATATCTTATCTATAATCTACCTTTTTAAGAATAGGGCTGAAATCACATAATGACAATTTTGGTATAACAAAATTATTTCAAACCCAGTGGCCAGTAGAGTGCTTATTGCACTTATTAACAGAGAAAATTCTGATAAACATAAGCTTGTAGAATGTTCCTTTGTGTGCTTATACTTCACGTTTTCTTTAATCAGATTCAACTGTGAATATTAAAACTCTTTTATTCTACATTTTTGAGGCCTCCCTTTTATGTTAGAAACCCTGTCCATAACTTAGTATTTTTTCCCTTTTCCTTTCACATTAGTACACTCACATAGACACATGTGTGCACTGACTACACAGCAGAGCTGAACTGTGACTCTCCTAGGAAATGTCTATGGCAGCTGTATCTCATAATAAAATAGTGCTAAATTTTCTTCCTTTGTTTATATCTGCATTGCATTTATTTTTAGTAACTGTGACAACCTGTTGATGTTGAACAAAAATGGCTAGTGGGATAATTTAAGATTTGAAACTACTCACCTCGTAATGATCAGTTAAGCAGTTTGAATAGTCACTTTTAAACTGGGCATACTGAACTGAGTACTGGAATTTTATTCTCTGAGTTCAGACCATTGTCAGTGCTAATTGTAGCATTAAACCATCTGTTAAAAATATACAGAAAGAAAAAGATGAAAGCTTCTTCATGTTGTGATCAAGAAATACTCAATAATGCCTTTAAAATATCATAAGTAATTATGCAGGCAACCTCAAAACAAAAGTTCCTTCAGAGTTTGCTTCAAGGGGCTTTACTGGTTCTGTACTTGTTAGTAATGTCTTAAGGGTCCCTTACCAAGTCAAGCCCTTTCTCTTTTCCAGCTTTGACGAATCTCTCTGGCAGACCTTAGACCTCACAGGTAAAAATCTGCACCCAGATGTGACTGGTCGGTTGCTGTCTCGAGGGGTGATTGCCTTCCGCTGCCCACGATCATTCATGGACCAACCATTGGTTGAACATTTCAGGTAAAAAGAAAGAAAAACACCTTGAAAAGCTCTCTATCTGGAAAAGACTCTCTGTCTGGGGGTGAAAACAGAGAAAACGCCTTTTTTTTTCTTTATCCAGCCTGCAACAGGCCATCTTTGCAGTGTGGGGTATTAATTGCTTATTGTGCCACGTGGCCATTGGATCGAAACATGGCACTGATTTGCCTAGCATGTGCAAGGCCCTGGGTTCAATCCCCAGCTCCACAAAAAGAAAAAACTTCATTTAACTTCTCATGTTGGGTGCTTTGCAGGTGGGGATCGTGACTCTTACAGGTCAGGAGTCAGGCAGAGCACTCATCATCAGGGGCAAAGCTGCCTAGTTCTTTCCCAACTGCCTGTTTCTGATAATCAAATAGTGGGAGGAGTATTTTCAGATTTGTGATTCTTTTGTGGACAGGTTTGCAGCCTGAAAATATACTTTCTTTTTATTTGTCTTGTAGACTTAACAGTCTACAAGGAAAAACATGTTTCTCTGATGCTAAAAATTATGCAATACTAAGGCTTAGCGCTATCTGATGGTTGAGTAGAACAACTAGCTATGGAAGAGAAAAACAAGTTGAAGATAGCAGAGCTGAGGGAAAAACATTTCCACTCCAGTACTTTTCCCCTTCTTTACATTGTCAAAACCACCAATTCTGCTGCTTTAATTTACTCCATAATTGTTCCTTCTTAGTTCTCCTCCTAGATGGGATATCTTTTGTACACTCCATGATTTGTTCCTGGCTTCTTCTTAACCACATGTTCTTGGACAAGCTATGTTTTGTTCACCCTACGTTTATGCTCAGGCCACTCTTTCAAACTCCTGTTTCTAATTACCTAACACCTTCCACCTGAATTTCTTCCAAGTACCTCAATGTCAATATCTAAAATTAAACTTGGCCTCCCTCTCTTCCACTGTCTTCACGGCCTTCGTAAGTACGCTCCTGCTCTCCCGCTAAACCCACCAGAAAATAAGAGTCCTAGGCTTAATCTCACAGTGCCCAAACAGGAATTTGCTAACTGGGTTCAATATTGGCAGCACCATCTGCACTTGGCAAAATTCCTCTTGAATTTTAAAATGAAAGAGAATGGATACTAGCTAAAAGCATTTTTTTTTATGACCAGAAATGTATTCAGTGCTTGAAATGTGTATGTAGAATCTTGTTTGTGCTTGGCTGCTCATTTGGAGGGGAGAGGGGTTGGAGTTGATCTGAGTGTACTTGCGTAAGCCACCTCACAGAGCCTCTTCTCTTTTGTGTTCAGCTCTTTTCGTGTGCAGCATATGGATCTGTCAAACTCGGTTATAAATGTGTCCACCCTCCAAGGCATTCTGTCTCAATGCTCCAAGTTGCAGAATCTAAGCCTGGAAGGCTTACAGCTTTCAGATCCCATTGTCAAGTGAGTGGCACCTAGAAATCACAAAGGCAGTTGTCATGTGTGTCAATTTTGTCCGCTGTGGATGACAGGGTTCCCTTCTGCCTGTGTCCAAGTGGACACAGAAAACATATTGAGTAAGTCTCTGGCTTCTGCAGAAATTTCAAGGCAACAAAAGTTTGCATGCTGACTATATGCCTGTCCCTGTCCTAGGTTCATTCTTGGGTGAGATAATTGTAGTGCAGTGCGTTTGTTAAATGCATTAGTGATTGATTATGTGGCAACACAAGGGAGGCCTAATGAAATTTAGGGAGGGCAGCCTTCTCAGAAGTGACTCGTAAGCTAGGTATTAAAGATATTCAGGTAGGAGATTTCCAAGTGATAGCCTATCTAAGTAAAGTTGCAGGCAGGCTTCTAAACTTAAGAAGCCCGGAGTTGCTGGACCATGGGACTCAGGGAGTTGAGAATAGGTCACATGTTAATGGGCCTCCATGCAGACTGTCTGAAGTCCACACTCTGTGAAGAGACTATAAAGCATGGTGCAGAGAATGGATGCATGGAAGGAGCATGTCAGAGTTGAAATTTAGAAAATTAACACTTTAGGCACCGTGGAGGGTCAATGAGACATGGGAGAAACTTGAGTAGTTAGGGTAGTGTTGTACTCATTCAGTTGAGAAAAGATGAAACCGGGTATAAAAAGTAACAGTAATGATAGCAGCTAATATTTATTTATTATGCTGTATACTAAGTTCTTTAAATGTATCCTCACTTAATTCTGAAAGCAAGCCCACGAAACGTTATTTTTTCCTTTTTGTAGCTGTGGAAACTGAGGCACAGAGAAGCTGAATAACTTGTCCAAATTCACACAGTTAATGGGGAGCCAAACCATGATTCGAACCTGGCATTATAATATGATTTCAGAATAATGGCCCTTAATCACTAAGTTTCCCTAAAAGAGGGTATTTAGCAGGGGAGAGGGCAAAGAAATGTCTAACTGAAAGAATCTCATGACTTTACAAGGAAAAGTTTGCATATAAGCAAATTCCAATCATGGGAAAAATAGTTACATGTTTACTCTATTGTCTTTTTTTTTTTTTAAGGTATATTGATGGATACTTCTTGTGCACTGTGCAGAGTCCTTTATTACATTGTATCATTTAATTTTCTTAATATCCCTACCAGGAAGATGCCATTTTAAAGATGAATAAACTGAGGCAAAGTACTGTTTGATGACACAGAGAGAGTGGAACATGAATTTTAAATTTGCTTCTGACTCAGGCCTATGCACTTTATTACACTACCCTGCTTTCCTCTGAATGAATCACTGTTGATTGAATAAAAGTGCCTTATCGATATTCCTTTAGCATTTTTCTCTTTTCCTAGCAATCTTGCACAGAACTCAAATTTAGTGCGACTAAACTTCTGTGGGTGTTCTGGATTTTCTGAATCTGCCTTGAAGACTTTGCTAAGCAGCTGTTCCAGGTAGGAAAGATATGAGACTTGGTTATACAGCCCTGGTATCAAATATAGTTCTGCCTCACATCTGAACAGAGTTGGATGAAAGTGAAGAAAATGTAGCAGTCTGTTTATGCCAGTGTAGTTGAAAGAAAGCTGTTTACACTTGACTGTAGAGTCATAGGTTTTTTGCCTATATTATCTTAGATAATACTGCCTTTTTTTTTTTAATCAAAGATGGTACATTGTGAGTATAAACCATAATAAATGTGGGTGAAATAATAACAGTACATAAAGAATCTAGAGGTACAGATTTACTAAGTGAGGGGACAGATGGTACACAGAACATACCATACAATATGTGTTTGGTTTTTCTTTGTTTTTCTTTTAACTATTCCTTGGTCTCTGTGCTGCAGCATTTGTACCTGTCTGTCTTTCGTGATCTGTTGAAAGTAGATTACCTTTGGATAAGAATGTCATCTGGGAGATAATATATAAGCACCATATTTAGTCAGTAGTGCTGAGAAGTGGGGGTTGCACACTGCTTGAAACCCTCACTGGCTCAGTTGGCAGAGGCAGAATTAGATGAAGTAGCTTCTTGCATAATCCATCTCAGGTGATTGCTCAGTCTGTGTGGCCGTTTGGCAGCCACCTGAGTGGTCTGAGAAAGAAAATACGCAGGCTAGAATTTCCACCTGCAGTCCTCGAGTCAAATTTGAGTCTACAGGAGGAGGGGCTAGGGTTCCCTTCATTTCTGGAAGGGGACAGCACTTGCTACGGCATTTGCTTAGATTTCGTGGCTACATTCAGGGGCAGATGGTACCGGGAAGTGTGTCAAGAGAGCAAAAGGCTATTTCAGATGAGCAAAGGTAGCTGCTTAGAATAGCAGGGCTCTGCCTAAAATGGTAAGAAATTTCTGGTTTTATATTAAGTTAATAACTTGAGGCAGACTCATTCCTGTTGATAGGTTCATGCCTTCCTTATTTCCCTTTTGTACAGACTGGATGAGCTGAACCTCTCCTGGTGCTATGACTTCACTGAAAAGCATGTGCAAGCAGCTGTCGCACATGTGTCGGAGACTATCACCCAGCTGAATCTTAGTGGATACCGAAAGAATCTCCAGCCATCAGGTGAGAGCTGTGGGGCATTAACAATAGACACACATTTGATTTGTTGAACATCTCCAAAGTTCTCGTCAACATGAGTTCCCTCATTTAGTTCAGTGCATGTGTTGCTTCCATTTTTCAGCTGAGGAACTGCTGATCAAAAGGTACAGGTGTAAACACCTACAGAGAACTGAAGTCACCAGGGTCCAGAAGGAGAAATTTTTATACTTTAAGACAACTTGTTTGTAGGCAGAACTATTTTAATACAACAAAATTACTAGGCAACACTCCGACATAAAAACAGATCAGTGCAGTGCAGTGGGCCCACTGTATCCCTGGGTTCTGCATCCATGGATTCAAAGGCAAATCAGAGACATTTAGGGGAAAAAAAATTACTTCCATCCTGAACGTGTTCAGAGTTTTTTCCCTTGGCACTATTCCTTAAACAATGCAATATAAAAACTGTTTCATAGCATTTATATCGTATGAGGTGTTGTAAGTGATCTAAAAAGCATACAGGATGTATGTTATATGCCACTGCTACAATATTTTATGTAAGGGACTTGAGTCTCCTTGGATTGGGTATCTTTGAGTTTCTAGGCCAATCTCCTATGAATACTGAAGGAAGACTGATTAGTGTTTCTCAAAGGGGGACAGTTTGCCTGCAAAAAGACATACGACAATGTCTGGAGACAGCTGCAGTTGTCACAGCCATCAGGCTGCTGCTGACATTTAATGGGTTCAAACTGGCAATGCTGCTAAACAACATAGCAAAGCACCACAAAAAGTAATCTGACCCAAAATGTCAGTCGTGCCAAGGTTGAGAAACCCTGTTATAAGTCCTGTTAATAAGTTTGTATTTACAATTCAGTGAAAGGGCAGTGAGGTTGTTTACATAAAAACAGGCATTTGAAATCAGGGTGGGAAGCAGTTGTCATCTTGACAAACCTCAGTATTTGGCTATGCCTTGCTTTGTATATATAACACTGAGAATCTTGATTTGCTAAAGTATTTGCAGATGGAGAGGTGGTGGTTTTTGTTTAACAGCTTCCCATTACAATCTCAAGCTAATATTCAATCTGGGCAGCCCTGTGTTCAGGGTGGTAGTAGCTCATATGAGTACAGGCATTTTGTTGTTAAAGTTTTTACTATGCTTAATAATTTGAACCAAACATTTACAAATACTTTTTTTGAGGGGGTGGGAGGATTCTGGGGTTTGAACTCAGGGTCTAGTACTTGCTAGGCAGGTACTCTACCACTTGAGTCATGCTTCCAACCCTGCAAATACTTCTTAGCATTTAAGTATTCAAAAACTACTTCTCCAGGGCTTGATGTGTCCTCCAATGAATAATATATATCAAGCTATAGAAAATAATAGGTAGACTTTCGTGAGTGGCCAGAAATTTAAGTCCATTATTAATGCAAGGACTAAGGTTTGCACTGCTACCATTTCACGTGTCTACTTTTTCAGACAGAGGAACACTTTCTTTAGAGATCTGTAAAAGCTGCAGTCATATTTTGATCTCTTATCACTCCCTCCTTACACACTATTTCTGTGCGACATTTTTTCCCTTTAAACACTCTTAAATCTGGTAGTATAATGCAGTTGTTCTCAAAAATACATGAAACATAGAAAAACAAAAGCAAAGCAGTTCACCAGAAAACAAACTCCCTAAATGTTATGAAATGAGGTGAAAATGCAGGAAGGGAGATAAAGCAGAGTTAGCAGGTAGGACTAAACAGGAAGGACTACTTTTAGATGGAATAAATGGCCACAGTGAGGACCTCTCTGAGGAGGTGACATTTGAGCAGAGCCTGATTGAGTGAGGGAGAGCTCAGTACGCATTTGTGAGAAAAAAGCCTTCTGCGTCAAAAGACCACAGAGTCCTTTGATACAGGAGCTAGTGTGTGAGAAGAAGCAAGGGAAGGGATAAGATACCCACGCCAAGGCAAAGGTTTGGATTTTTCTGAATGACATGGGAAGTCAGTGAAGCCTCTCAGCAGAGCAGTGGTGTGGTCTGACTTACCTCTTAAAAGGCTGCCTGTAAGGGCTGGGGGCTGTAAAAGCACCTGCTTCCCAAGTACCAGGCCCTGAGTTCAAACTCAATACTGCAAAATAAATAATTTTTTTTTTAAAGGCTCACTTTAGTGCCATGTTGAGAACAGAGTGCAAGGTGGAAAGTGTGAAGTAGGGAGGACTGTCAGGAACTAGAATGGTAACTGTTGGGGTGCTAAGAAATGATTGGGTTTGAGGCTTTTGAAAGCCACATAACAGGATTTAGTGACAGACTGGATGTGGGAAGTGAGAAAAACAGTTGAGTGTGATTCCAAAGGTTTAGGCATAAGCTACTGGATCCATGAAGCTATCGCTTATAAGGCAGGAAAAACTATAGGGAAGAGACAGATTTAGGGAAGTTGAGTATTTGGTTTTAGACATAAATTTGGACGTCTGTTGCATATCCAAGTGGGTATGTTGGAAGGTGTGGAAAATGTAACTCTAATTTAGGGATGTGGTTGAAGATACAGGCATGAGAATAAAAAACTCTCCAACATCAGTGAAGTGTGCCTATTATTTTAAATAAATAACACTTACTGGTGCATTTCCTGCTTACAAAATAGGTCAGCTCAGGTTGACTTTCTTCCAGATTCTGAAGTTACCTGTAGTCTCAACTCTTGCTAATTGCTGTTAACATTTTGGTATATTTCCTTCCAGCCTTTTCTTTTCCTTCTCATCTTTTCTCTGTGTGTGTGTGTGTGTGTGTTGACTAATTGAGATTTGAATATATTTTGTTTTGTTTTCAGCATACAGTATCCCCTGGTGTTTTTTCACGTTACCAAGAAGGTTTTTAATAACCTTCAATGATCAGGCACAGTGGCTGATATTCATAATCCCAGCTACTTGGAAAGATCTCATTTTAAGGCAGCCCAGCCTGAACAAAAAGTTAGACCCTATCAGCAAAAATGCTGGGCATATTGGGATACACTTATAAGCCCAGCTACGTGAGAGGCCTAAGTAGGAGTACAGTGGTCCAGGCCCACCCAGGCCAAAATCTGAAGAATAACTAAAGCAAAAAGGGCCAAGGGCCATAGCTCAAGTGGTAGAACACTTGCCAGGTATTCATGAGGCCCTGAGTTCAAACCCCAGTACCACAAAAATAAATAAATGACCTGTATTCATGGAGTTGATGAGGCTTTAACTCAGAGGAGGAGCTATCGTAACTGTAGCTGCAATGGAGATGCTCGAGGCATCTATTTTTTCTACAAGTGGGATTACTGGGCCAAAGGGCAAAGTACCATGCTCAAGAGTGCATTTTTAAATGATCCCTTCCTCCCCTCAATTTTTTAAAAATCCCTTTAAGCTTCCTGAAAGGCTGTACAAAATATCTATTTGTGGTGTATGGGTGGACCTGTGTTACTATAGTTCATCAGTTTCGGGTATTAAGATAGAATATCTCTCTTTTGGTGGCTGAAAAACAGTCTAACTTCACTTAGTATTTCTTGTACCATGTTAATACTTATTTACTTATGTACATATGTGTTACTGGGGTTTGAACTCAGGGACTTGCTAAACAGACGTTCTACCATTTGAGCCACACCCTGTTAATTTTCCAATAGGGTCTCAGGTCCATGCCTGTTAAGGCCTAGATTGCCATCCTCCAATTTACACTTCCTGTGTGGCTGGGATTGCAAAAGTGTATCACCATGCTCAGGTTTTTATTGGTTGAGATGGGGGGTCTCACAAACTTTTTGCTCAACTTGGCCTGCAAGTGTAATCCTCCCCACCTTCACCTAATATGTAGCTAAGATTGCAGGTGTGAGCCTCAATACCAGCATTATCTCTGTTTTGCAAGTGTCTGCTCATATTCTTAGTGTATTTTCTGTTATCTCTTTCCTCTTTATGTAAGAGTGTTAACCCTGTTTTATTTATGTTGAAAACATTTATTCCAGTTTTCTGATGCTTCTTTAAATGTTTTAACACAGTAGAGTTTTAAAATTTTTATACAGATTATAAATGTACCCTATGTTTTTCTTGATGTTTAGAAACACCCTATGTATCCTAAAATTCATTAATTACCTGTACTTTTGCATATAGAACTTTTTTAATATATTCAGTTTATTGGGATATATTATGTGAGTTGGAGAAATTATTTTTTCTAGTCACAGTAGCAACATTGCTTTTTAATAATCCATGATTTCCCTCACTGATTGAAAGAGCTGCCTTTACACCATATTGTTTGTCCATGAATATATGATGTTTGGTTTTGTTTTTTGCTATTGTGAATGGGACTTTTTTTTCCCTTTATTCTTCCAGCCAGTTACTACTGATACATAAATAAGCTGTAGTTTGTTGATAACCAGTTTAACATTTCCAGAAGTTTTTCAGGTGATCTCTTGCATTTTCTGAGTAGCGAATTTCATATGCCAAGATAATCGCTTTTGCTTGTTCTTTCAAGTAGTAAGCAACTCTCATTGCCTTGTCCCAGACTTCCTGCACAATGTCAAAGAACAGCAGCAGTAGCAAATGTGATTGTCTTGTTCCTCACTTAATGGTGACCATCCTGTTTGTTTGTTTCCCCTAGATGTTGCTACATTAGTTAGAAGATGCCCCAACCTTGTCCACCTAGACTTAAGGTATTTTTTGTTTGTTTGTTTTAAATGGAAAGCTGAACATTCTTGATTGCTCATTGAGTGGGGAAGGCTCTAAAAGTTGAATTGAAGTTGCTAAGCAGTGGTATTCATCTAGAATGGACGGGCGACTTTGAATTTCTTCTTTTCTGTTACAGTGATAGTGTCATGCTAAAGAATGATTGCTTTCCGGAATTTTTCCATCTCAACTACCTCCAACATCTGTCACTCAGTCGGTGCTATGATATAATACCTGAAACTCTACTGTAAGTATGTTGTGTTTTTATGCTAATAGAAGGCAAGGGCCAACAGAGATAACTACTTGGTTAATCCATTGGTATTCATAGCAGGTATTTACAATGAAACTAACACTAGTGTGTCACAAATTGGCTAGAAGATAAGCAAAACAGAAAATCCATGGAGAGTTAAAATGTGTGGTTGACTGAGGCGTTCCATAGCATTTATTATTGCACTGTCAGCATTTCGCATTACAATCCCCTGCTGTCTCTGGAGGACTTACAAAGGAAGTAGGAGAAAGCCTTCACCTCCAGAGCACTCATGTGTAATTGGGAAGGCAGACCCAATGTGAGTGGGTTTGGTTTCATTTTCCAAATTTTTCACATTATTTCTAGTTGATTCCAAAAGCTTTCATCTGGGCTTAGAGGAAAAGTTCTGTAATCTAGTGAGGAAGACCTGGATGGAAGGTCAAGGAATGTAATGAATAAAAGCACATGTGTGGTGCATTTCATAAGAATCTAATTTTTCTGAACAGGGATAGATACTGTATAGGTCCAAAAAAAAAGTGAGGTGTTTTATCCAGATTTGATAGTGAGTTGCTGGCTGATTTGGGTCTAGATCCGGGGTCTCATGGACAGATGCAAAATAGTCCATATCTAGTCTAGTGGTTCATCTGAGAGTTAATTTTATCTCCTCAGCAACTTCAGCAGACTCAAAGGAAGTACAAAGAAAAAGGATCTAACCCATCCTTTTTTTGGTGGGGAGGGATAATACTCAGGCCTTATATATTCTTCCTAATGCCAAAAATAAATGCATAGTAATTTCATTAAAAACCACAAGAGGTCAGTATCTTGTACTTGGTCAAGTACCCTTGTTTCTTTCATGGTCCATATGCCCCAGTGAGGCCACCATACTCAGAATGAGTCAAGTTTTGCTTCACCTTCCTACCTAACAAAGGTGCTGAATTTAAACAAAGAATTTATCTAGTCTTCAAATTAATGGTTTGGATTTTACAAATTGGTTTCAACAATTAATGAATAAGTCAGAAACTTGAGGTGGTCCGGGTTAACTAGTAGAATTAGGAAACCTGGAAATTATGTGATTAATTATTTTAATTGCTATCAGGAGGCCCTGAGCTAGTACTGCATTTGGAAAAGCACTGTCTAAAAAGGATGCCAGTATTTACTTACCTAGCTCTCAAGTGTTTGAGTCTAAATTCACGTGCATGAACTTACTCAAATTCCTATTTTCTAGCATGCAGGTATCTTAGGAGCCTCTAGCATCTACCCAAAAAGATTTTCCTGTCATCCATTCATTCCCTTCCTTACGATCTGGGCTGCCACTTTGCCTGGGCAGACTCCGGGAAGGTTGAAGATAATTCTTTCCTAGTTTCTTTTCTCAAGAGAATCTGTCCATGTCTTGCTTTTTTTGTTCCTTCACTGTGGAAAGAAGCTAAGGTGATAACCCAAATGGTTTTCCTCCAGCAAAGGCAAAGGGAAGGCTTTGAGCCCTCACATTTTAATATTTGTATCCAGTGGTTAATACTAATATCTGTATAGTATCCAGACAGGCAGTGTGAACTGATGGTGAGGAGCATTGGGCCTGAAGTCACAGACCCAGGTGTGAACCTTCTCTACATCATTACTTACTCTCTAAATCAGATCTTGAAAGAAAAAATGGGGCCATAACAGGATTGAGTTTAGTTAGAAGTCAGAACCCCTAAACAGAGAGAGAACAAGAAGGTGTTCTTGAACTTTAAAACAGTGTGTTTCTTTAGGCATTAGTAAATACCATAACAATTTATGTCATAAATCCTTTGAGATGAATTTGTTAATACCCTTTCCAGAAGCTTCTCAGAGTAAAATGTCTTTCCCAATAATTTCAGTCATTCTGGCAGCTGTTGTATTTGAAATTCATAGTAAAAATTTCAGGGTACCTCAACAATGATTTCCAGAGAGCCAGCCATCTATGTTGTTTCTTAACTCTGAAGAGGAACAGTAAAATTTGAGTGCCTTCTATAATAGTAATATTTTAAAATACTTAAGGAACTACATCCTCCCCTCCCCCCCAGTCCCCATGATATTTATTTCCTTCTTCCTTAATTGATCTTATTTTCTACATTTAAACTTTCTTCTCATTATGTCCTATTTCATATCATTCAAGTAAGAAACCCAACCTGGAAAGAGTAAACTGACCAGAGATGAGAGAAGCCTTAACAATTCATTTTAGGAAAATCTGTACTGAAGGTAATTTAGACTTGATAAAGGAAACCAGGATTATGTAGATGAAGCAAGGAGTAAACCTGTAAAGGAATTTTAAAATGTCTTTTTTTGTTGTTTTGTTTTTGTTTCTGAGACCAGGTCTTGCTGGCCTCAAATTTGCACTCTTTCCACCCAACCCTCATATATTAATCTTTCATTCACTAAACTTGAACAAAAATTCTTAAGGCATTATCAATGTCATTTTATACTTCTTAAACTAGAAAGAATGGGTTTTAAGCTCTTCATTCTTGTTCACCATCCATTCTACTTAGTTTTCAGTCTACTGTTTTATTAAAGAGATGCTTATAAATTTGCTTTTCTGTGTTGTACATGACACACATGCTAAGAGGCAACTTTTTTGATCCGGTTCTTGACCCAGCAGCCCATCTTCTGCAGCTGCCTTCTCACATGTAACTCTGAGAATGCTGTGTGATTTCCTTCCTCACCAAATCCCTTTCCCAATGCTATTGCAAGACCATTTCCTCCTCTGCCATCTGCCATCCCTCCTCCTCGTCTTACTCCCACCTACAATGTCTTCTTTTAAACATTATCCACTCCAGAATGACTCACAACTTGGCTGCTTTAGGATATCCTAGAACCAGAGTTCTCCTGGTTATTACAGTTCTCAGACACTCAGATTTCATATAAGAGGGATTTGTGGTAGGAGGTAGATTGCTATCATCTTCAGTAGTGATAAGAATAAACATCTATGGATCATGACCTCTTTTGTTTTTTGTTTGTTTTTTTTGTGATGAGACTGTAGTTTGAACTCAGGGCTTCCTGCTTGCAAAGCTGCCATTCTTCCACTTGAGCCATGCCTCAAGTCCATTTTTGCTCTTAATTACTTTGAGGATGGGGTCTAGCAAACTATTTGCCCAGGCTGGCCTCTAACCAAGATTCTCCTGATCTCAGCCTCATAGACATGAGCCACCTGTGCCTGGCTTGACCTTACTCTTATATTCCTGCTTCTACAAGTCCAGAAATGAAGATCAATTGCAATTTGTTCCAATCCATTTTCTTTCAATTTGTTGTGATACACTAAAACGTCTGTGGTGCTTAAGATACTTCATAGAGTATAAAATAAATACACTTAGGGAGTAGTGGGAAGATCAGAAGGCAGGTTCAGCATGGAATGTCTTAACGCCCAGTGAACAGTTGGGTTCTATAAACACAGGGAACATCCAAGGTTTTGGAGTGAGTGACATAATCTGAGTGAGGCTTTAGGAAGATGCCTTGGACTTTGGTGTACAGAATAACCTGAAAGGAAGAAAGATTGGTGGCCACTTATGCCTCATTTGTTTGTTTGTTGCTTCTAACTCTAGGTCATTGATCTGTAGTGGAATTTTGTTGAAATTCTAAAGTAAATGTTCCCTTTCCTAAGACTTTGTACTGTTTGTCCCAGCCTGGAGCAAATACAGATCAGAGATGATTTTTCTAAGCACATAGATCTGTGTTAAGAAGAATCACCACCACAACCAAAAAGTATTTACTTTGGGGAAACAGGTTACCTTTTTTGTGAACCAGAATCTCACTGTTGGCACATTATTTTTCACCTAATTTGAAGTACCTAAGGAGACATCTGGCTCATCTATGAGAGAGGGAGGGAAAAAATGGTAAAATATAGAGAGGTAGGAGGTTATCACCACCTATAAATGTGTGATTGGTTACCACGTTTTTTACATCTGCACCCAGCTACATAACCCTATCTAAAATATTTTAGAGAAGTCACTGGTAGGTTTCACTACACACATGGACTTAACTATGAACCATTCATAAGAAATCATCAATCTTGCTGCCATCTTCTGGTGGGAAACAGAGGCTAGTTCAAATAAAGGTCAAGTCCACATCCTTAAATTGCATGTAACATGCAGTGGTTCCAACTGATACCACAGTAAAACATTTGCCTTTTATCATCACTAGCTTGCTAGCTCACAACACATAACCTCCTCGATTCACCTTTGGGAGTTCATCAAATCTGTATTGCACATTTCAGGTTACATTTTATAGACTATGACACAGATTATAAACATTGGGCTATATAACCCGTATCACATAGTTTCCATAGGTACTGAAAGTCTTTTTTTTTCTTTTCCAGTGAACTTGGAGAAATTCCCACACTAAAAACACTACAAGTTTTTGGAATCGTGCCAGATGGTACCCTTCAACTATTAAGGGAAGCCCTTCCTCACCTGCAGATTAATTGCTCCTATTTCACCACCATTGCCAGGCCAACTATTGGCAACAAAAAGAACCAAGAGATATGGGGCATCAAGTGCCGACTGACTCTGCAAAAGCCCAGTTGTCTATGAAGTGCTTATTGCAGGGTGGTGTCTCCTCTTCCTTTGGAATGGGGAACACAGACAGGAAGCCAATTGCTGGAGCACTTGGCTAGTTTTGATACCAGTTTCCCCTTACCCTTCGTCCTGCAGATGTTATAGGAACCATTTGCAAGGGACAACTATGAAGTGTTGCTTTTTTTTAATTGACTATAAAAGCGTCTTGTCAGTGCTGTGCCCTTAAAAGCCTAAATTGTAGGGCTTTGGAAGTTTTATGAGAATGAGCTAACAATTTCAAAATACCTTTTTAAGGAGCAAAAATTGAGCCAACTCTTCCAAGTGCCCTTCTGATTAAGTCTATTTAGAATTAAGCTTAAAAATTACCACTGGCTAACAGTTTTCTTAGTTTTGTGGTAACTATAATTTTTTCAGTATTCTTTATAAAACATGGTTTGGAGATATCTATCTAAATATATCAATAGATAAACATATTAAGCTGAATAGAAAAATCACAGGATAGTAGCATTTAAGTCTGGAAAGTAAAAAAAAAAAAAACACATTTCAATCTTTAATTTGAAATTAATTTAATAGAAACAGAGCCCCATGTAATTCACCTTAAATCCTAAATACAAAACAAAGAAATGACCAGAAGTATAGAACTGATAATAGGAATTGAAGTCTCAAGGGGCAGTTTTTGAAATCAGGTTCATCTGAAGTGTCCCTTAATGTTTATTAAGGTACCGTGTTCCTAGAATTCAAATTAAGTGAGGAAATATAATTGTGGTTTTCTAACTATAATCAAGTTATGTTAACATGGTTGTTTGCTTTTATGATGTCTTGCTTTGTTTTAGGAAGTCGGTATTATCCTGATCAGTCTCTAGTCTTAAGAATTTGGATGGGAAGATTCTGAATTGATATCTTCTGCTGTTTTCTTAACGCTGAGGTTATTTTATAGTACTCTGGAATCAAGTATTTTAAAATCTTTTTTTAAATGTCCTTTCATAATAATTGCTTGAAACTACTCATTAGGTCAGAACTGCTTGTTCTTTAAATCAGAAATACACGCAGAAGCAGGTGTGTGTTACGTACAACTTCAGAGCAATTGGCACTACTTGCACCTACACAAGATTTTAAGACTCAGGTGTTGAGCCATTTGACAGCAGGGTTTTTTTATTTTTTTGTTTTGTTAACCTGGTACATAGAAGCAAAATGACCAAATTATGTTTTTTAAAAAATCATTTAAAAAGTTCAATTCCCCCCCTCCAAAAAATCATTAAAAAAAATAGTTTTAGGTCAGTAATCTCCCTGTGTGTTCAAAATGCAACAAAAAGCCAATCCCATCATTTCTACTAATTTTAATCAAGTTTTTTAATGTTAGAAACAATAGTATGAAGTGCCCTTATCTGCTCAGACCTAAAGAACATTTTAAAGTAGTGTTGTTACACAGGAAATGATTATGCTTCAATTTCCTGGTAGTTAATAAGTGCTAAATACTACTTGAAATTATTGTTTACAGATTAGTGACAGGGGCTGATGATAGGATACAGTTGGACTCCTGTCTTCCTCATGCCCTCAAGTATACAGTACCCGTACTTCCAAACTCAAGTCCAGCCATAAGCTATTTTGCCAACATGTCGAAGTAATCTGTATTTTTGTATGTGGTTTCTACTTTTATAGACTTGTTTTAAAATAAAACAGCTTTTTATAAAAATGAGTACTTGGGCTAAGTTGTATCCTTTTCTTTTTTCTTTAAGTGTCATTTGCCTCTGAGACCTTTAAAGACCCTTCAAAACCGAACCCTAAACACCATCCTGTCTACTTCATATGCTTGTCAAGTTAAAATGATAGCTTATAATAAAAATATAAAGCTTTTTTAAATACTTCAAAAATAACATATTTATAAAACATTTGAATTCAAGGATTAATGTGGTAATCAAATACTAAAAATAAGTCGGCTAGTAACAATGTTAGATACAGACTTACCAGCTTATCTGTACTGGACTCACTGGGAAATTATTTGAATTGTTTTTTATGCCTAGAGTCTTTCAAGTAGTTCGATTCCTTTGAACCCTTCCATTCAAATGGTAGAATGATTCTTAAATATCACCTACTTTATTATTTTACATCATCACTGCTATGCTTATTGTTTTTAATGAAAAATGTCCACTGTATGTGGTAAAGAAAATAGGATAAACTCCATCATCCAGTTTCAACAGTCATTGACTCCTGCCCAACCTCATTATCCATGATCTCTACTGTTCCCCCCATACAAATTATTTTGAAACAAAATTTGGACCTACAATTTCATCAGTATTTCACTATATTCCTCTAAAGGATAAGTGATTCTCTTGAATTCTGAAGCACAGCATATCAGGATGTTGTTGAAGATTCCTCATTATCTCAAGCGTTTTATGTGGGTTTGTTTTGATCAGGTTCCTAACACAGTTCACATGTTTTATACCCTGTTCACAAGTTCCAGAGATAAGGACACTCTTGGCCTGGGACAAACGTTATTTCTGGATAAAATACATGTTCCCTTTTATCCTGGTGCATTCAGTTGCAACTCAGCATGTGCTGTTATCTACCATACGGAAGATACTGTTTGAACAACAGAACGGGCAGATGCAGAATGTTATGAGGAAAGGCAAGTAATCTAAGGTACAGGGCAAACAGAAGGGCTGCATATGCCAACCCCAGAATAAGCAGAAAAGCAGCCTCCTTTCTTCCCTCTCCACATAGCCACACATCCCAAAAAGTCAACAAGGTATATTCGCCAAGACACTAACTCTTAAGATACAGGCCAAAGCACGTACTAAACTAATTTGATGGGTTTGTTTTGCTTCAATAATTGAGTTATTTGTGTTTTGCTGAATCCAAATATTAAAATGCTGACATTTTTATATTTCTCAAAATGAATACCAAAATATCTAACTTACAATTTTGTGGGTTAAAATCAATTATTTAAGGTATTCAGATTAACACTTAAAATATTTTCTATTTTCTCTCTAGTTTTCAGTGGTTTTTCTTAAAAATATGTGAAGACCCATGACTTAAACTCTACCTTCCTTAATGTACTAAACCTAAGCCTTCTTTCTAACTTATGCCTCCTAGCTCCTCACAAGAATGTTAAGTCAAAAATAAACTGCACTTGAACCGTTTTTAGTTTTGAGATAGGGTCTCACTGCATAGCTCAGGCTGGCCTCAAACTTGATTCTCTCATCTCTGCTTCCTAATGGCGAGGATTACAGCACACTGTTCTTTAGTTCAGTAGTACATTTACTCTTACCCCATCTCCACTATATATATTTTTCATCATTCTACTTTAGTTATGTTATCCCTGGGACCTTTTTTGCACAATCATCTCGTTAGACTCTACCCATGACTATCAGCACAGTAAAATGAATGTGTGCTATTTAAGATCTAAATTTACATTGTTCTTTTCACAGCCAAGCACTATATATTCTTAACTTTATTATCTGAGCCCTTCCTCAAGTATTTTACAATAAAATGTTAACAGGCTTTATCATTCTGATTCTGCTTATTTAAAAAGTGAAGTAAACGTAAAGGAAAAAAAAGGTAAATATTTTGTATATGAAGATATACATCCATTTGCTATCTTGGGACCATTAATATAAATACATAGAAACATCAAAAATATTAAGCCAAAATTATCTGAAAAGGCTACATTTTCTAGAAAAGTACTTTATCTTCTGATCAAATATCAGATAATATCACTATCTCATATTTTAACAGTGAGTGATATCAACAGGGCACAGAATATACACAGCCATAGGGAAAAATATTTTTAAAGCATAGCACTTCTGGAAAACCTGGTTTTCAGTCCCCCAAGAATTAAAGAAATAAGAGATTTAAGTGGGGGGGATAAAAGCAGTGGTTTAATTTTATTCACATACAGTTGTCATTAAAAGGTTAACCCATTCATAAAGACATTTTTGCTATTCTAGCATTCTTTTCCTCTCATCTCTTACAAATACATCCCCACCAGGAAGTAGAAGTTATATTGCAAGTGAAGCATGTTTAGCATCTTAAGACCTCTTAAAATATGGCTTGCGACCAATTTCACACAGCAAGTTGCCTATTAATATGTTACATATTAACAAGTCTGGTAGCACATGGACAGTCAGATTTTCTTGAAATATTAAGAACAGAGTTGGATTTTTCCCCATTAGGGGAGTTTCTATAGTGTGGAATTCAACTTCTTTACAAAGTGGTATCTTACATATATCACCCTTTAAAAAAAAAAACTAGTTCTGGGAAGATACTAATTTTTATTTCCACCTAATGCATCATGTAAATCCTTTGCTCTGTTTATGCAAGGACACTTCAGAAAAGCATTCTTCTGGATATATTACTTTTTTTAAAAAAATGAAAGATTCGATCCAGCCCTGGAGAAACACTCATTTCTATTTTAGTTCCATCTGATGCAGCATGCCAAGTACATGGCTTTTAAGTGTCTATGCAGATTCTCTTAAGAAAAACAGATTCTTCCAGGTAGATATCAAAACCTAGATTACCTTTGCAAATTAGTATTTTTTAAAACACTGATAACAGCAGCATGTTAACTGTCTGCAAAACAAGAACACTCAATTTGATCACATATCCTAACTCACAGTTTTTACTTCTGAGCTCAGCAGGCTCAAAGTCTGTAAGGACTACA